GTCCCTGTAAGAGAAAAGTTAATGAGTCCACAATATCAACCCAGTGAAAAAGATTACAGTGGAACACAGCGCACTGTCCTCTTTGGCTCTGAGGTTTGGCACGTGCATCCCCCCCCCCCCTCCTTTTTCACTTGAATAATTTTAACCTTACACCACAAATTTAGCACAGCAAATTGAGCTCTCCCGTAATAAAGTCTGGAAGAGCCCAAGTAGAGGTCAGTGAGCCAGCCGCTGCTCAGCTGGAGTTTTGATCACTTGTTGCTGCTTGGTCCTGCCTTCACTGGGGTGGAAGGATGCTCATCTTGCCATCGTCACTGAAGGAGAAGCCACGCACGGTCCTCCGTCACTACCAGCGTCCGCCCGGCCGCAGAAGAGGGCTTCACGCAGGTTGTTATCAATCCTGCGGCTGCCGTCAGCCTTGTTCTGATCCTGGTGCCCAGACGCATTTATCCATCGCCTGTCACAGAGCACTGTTGCTCGTACAGGTATTTTGCGTGGGTTAAGGTACCTGTACCAGAGCAGGGGGGTGACGTCTCTGAAACACAGCGATATAAGCGCTGGTCACAGGGACAGTCGGTGGATAACACCGAGACCTCGCTGCATCTCATGACCCTGTACAGAAACAAGTAGGTACATGTTAGAGAAGGATTTGGGAAGGCAAGTTTAAGGTTTTGCTGGGTTTTTTGATTGTTTTTCAAAGGGTTCACAAGCTTATTTTTTTGCTGTGCACCATTTAATTTCACTATAATTTAAAATATGGAGCATACTCTTAACACGAGTATGTTTGGGAAAAGAGCCTGGCATTTGCTGAAGCAAATAACGTGTCTTTCCAGAGGCTGCAGTTCCACTTACGCTAGAGAAAATTTTGGTCCGAAATCTGGGTATTTTTGGAGAGTAAACCAGATTCCGAAACTTTCTTTCCCCAGCTAATTCCACATCCGCCTGGCAAGCCTGTGCCTTTTTCCTGACAGATTAAATATTATTCTATCCCATGTGTAAGAGTCTTGCAAACATCAAAGTAATGACTACATATAGGAATGTATATTTTTTGTTATTACAAAACTCGCCTTTTCCAAATTGCTTTGGAGAGTTCACACGTGCGATTATTATTATTTTTTAAGTGGAGGGGATGCTTTCTGAGCAAACCTGGCTGTGTCGGCGGCAGGACTGGATCCGCGTCAGCAACGGCAGGGCAGGAGGCCACCAGTCCTCCACCCACCGTAAGCATTCCTAAAACCAATTCAAAAAAACGCCATTTCCAGCTTATTTGAAGCTCAGCGTTTCGGTGTCACGGGGCCAAACGCAGTGCAGGTGCCTGACCATTTCGTACTGGCTCAGTATCAAATTGGCTTCGTGTCCGCTTCCAGTCACAACCAACACCAACTGGATTTCAACTACTTTCATTATTTTTACTGCCCCGGCTAAGAAAAGCAAACAAATGAACACATTGAGATTTCCCTAAAACTCAAATGCAATTATTTAAAGCCGATAGGGTAGGAAAAAAGGACACATCTCAAGCTGAAGATCCACCTAGCCAAGGCTGCTACATCTAACCGTGACCAATGCAAGATGATTAGGGAAACAATTTAAAAAAAAGGACAGGTGAAAAACAAACTCTTCCCCAACCGTGCCCCCTTCCTCCAAGCCCCCAACAATCTGCAGCATGGAGTTGTTTCAGAAATTATTTTAAAATATGAATTAACTCTTTAATCTCAAGGCTAAAAGAACATTGCACAAATCACTCGCGTATCTTCTGGTCAAGATCAAGTCATTTTGGTTGCTTTGATATGTTTTTCTTCATAAACCGCTGCCTCGGCTCATAGGCGAGCGGGAACTTACTGCCCTGCAGTAAGGGCAGCAGCCGTCCCAAGCCTGATCACCTGAAATTCAAGCGAGCAGCTTTGGCACAGCAATACGACAGCTCGCTAGGCAAAAGCCTGACTCGCAACCTGGCTGTATTGACCCATGTTTTATCAGACCACTGCTCCACCTTCGCAGGAATCAAGCTCCGACTTCTTTGAAGGGGGATGTTTATGGCAAGGCAGTACCTTGGGCACAGCATGGCCGACCTGTCTGCCACAGAAACCAAAAACGAGGCCTGCAAGAAGTACTGTGTAAGTTCACCTGAAACTGTGAAGAACAAGAAAAGGGCAAGGTAACAGCGATGCACCTCGTGTATTTTGGGACAACTCTGCTGCCTCCTAGGCAGGGGGGTGCTCACTAAAGAAAGCTTTTTGGGGTTTTGTGGGAGGGGTATAGGGAGGCAAACAGAAGGCAAAAGGACAAGGTTACTTGTAAATGCCAAGATTCAAGCCAGGTACTAGCACTGTATCAAAAAAGTAAGTTAAAGGAGCAATAAATCATAGAATACCTCAAGTTGGAAGGGACGCATAGGGATCGAGTCCAGCTCCCTGCTCCTCGCAGGACCACCTGAAGCTAAACCATGACTAAGAGCATCGTCCAGACGCTCCTTGAGCTCTGCCAGGCTTGGTGCCGCGACCACTTCCCCGGGGAGCCCGTTCCAGTGACCGACCGCCCTCTCAGTGAAGAGCTGGGTGCGTGCAGTAAGTTTAATTGTTAAGAAAACCTTTCTGTTCCAGACATTGAAGGAGATATTCACCCTGATGTTTTTGTGAGCAAGAATCAATGCGGATTTTTTTTGTCATCGCTCAATCACCAGGACTCATCCAGGCAGAACTATCTGACAGTGGTAAGAGACATGGAGGCGAACTCCTGCTGCTGCTGGGAGAACTTGTATTGCTTTTATTTCCATTATCGGCCTGTACTAGGAGTAAAGGACCCCACTACTACCTACATAGTTTAGGTCTTTATCTAAGATTTGACACAGAAACCAATGAAACTGCCCGAGAGGGAAGAAATAATACACCAAGGTTTCTTCAAATGTGTTTAGCTTGAATAGATACAGCGGAGTCCTTGTTAAAAGCTACCTTCGGTATCATTTCGGTGTCCCTGATGTGTGCTGGGACACTGCACCCTCAACAGCCCTAGCGAATACGCTCAGTTCTTACGGGCAATATCCTCGCGAATCATCACGTGAGCCCCGTTTTGTCTCTTCCCTCATCCGCAGTAACGCTTGCTGTTCTTGTCCTGACCCTCTCCTGAGCATCCGTTTGTCTCCAATGGACAAAGAAAAAAAAAAAGATTTCCTATTAAGTGGACAAATCCCAAACTTACTTTCATGAAGAATTAAAATCTACTTTCTTTGCATGCAGAAGCGATTAGGACTAGTCAGTCTGCTGAAACTATTCAGTTTGCTCACTGACCACAAGCTTGTTATTTTTGTCGCTCTCCTTCAACTGCTTGCATGTCATTTGCATTGTTTAAAGTCAAAACAAGATCACCTCAACTTGCAGCTACAGTACTTCTCATTTCATACATCACCAGTCATGCTGGAATCGCAACTTTGCATGTTATTTTGTCAATGTGCAAGAAGCAGAAGAGAAACCAGCTTACTCTTCTGAAATTACATTGGCTCTGCAGTGCTGACAGCAGGAAAAAAACCATCAGTCAAGTTACCAGATATGACTCAGGACAGAGAGAATTCCCGTTTCAGTCCCATTTCTGACCGTGGAGCCACACTAGCCCTAGGCACACCAACCAGTGCGGTACCGTTCGAGAGCACCGCAGCTCTGCTAGCTATAAACTTGCCCATTTCTGGTGCGTATCCCTGCCCCGGCTCATCGCGCTCGGCATCAGCAGCGTTTGCACAATACTATTCCCTCTTGCAGAGTCCCTCAACTTTTCAGGTTTGTTTAATAGAAATTTGCCTATTCACAATTATTTTCCCTTTCCTTTACCTTCCAAATTCTCTCCTGGTTAATTCCTTAGTGCTTGACTCCAATCTTTATTCCAATTACACAAGATCTACTTACGATCAGTATGGTATGTGCTCATTCAGCTGCCCTAAGACCTAGCACTGACAGCAGAAGAGGAGAAGGCTGAGAACAAGGTTTTCCGTGGGGCTGTTAAAGACACCATCGACGCGTGACCTCCGCTGTTCCCTCAGAGGTTTAGGTCCTTTGAAAGCAGCAACACTCTTTCAGGCTTCAAACAGAACACAAGATCAGGACATGAATTTCACATTGACATTTTTATTAACGCCAACTGTTTTAATTTTTTTTTTTTTTTTTTTAAACAATAGCACAAAAATGTTTCAGGGAAGCAGTCTGACAGTTAGTCTGATGACCTTCTGAAATACAGTTAAGCCACACCAAATATGAATTCCTGTTAAAGAAAAAAAAAAAAATATATGGAACTCCAACCTTTGTATTAGAGGGTGTTGTGTCTGGTTAGTAGACCACGCTGTTTGTGAAGTAAATGATGGCACACAGCTTAGACTTCATCATCACGCCAGTCATCACTAATTTAAGGCTTCTGAATCAAATTACCATCAACATCACAGAAAGGAACGAAAAGCTAGTGTTGCTACGGCCATGAGGAGATTGAACAAGCTGGATCTTTTAGACAAGTAACGGTGTCTTGAATGGAAGAGACCTGCCCTAACAGCAGCCAGGAGAACCAGTCACACGGTAGTTGTCTCCTCATTTGCATGCATTTTGAGGGTGCAATTTAGTAAGAAAAAAAAAATAAATCGCATGAATCTTTCTCTTATTTAATGTGGCTATGAAAGATGTTTCCTTACAATTCCATTATCTCTAAGAAGGACATCAGCAAGTGGAACCAAGGAGAAAAACCGAAGAGCAACAGAACATTTTTCTTTTTGCTGAGAGGTAACACAAAAGGGAGGGAACCTACTATCCTTGGATTTGGGGGGGGGTTGCAGGAACATCTCCCCAAAACCTCGCACTTAGAATGATGCACAGACTCTATGTTATACCAGCTACCTGCCTTTCCGAGTGACCTGTTCCACACAACGCTCATTCTTGCCCCAGACTCTCCACAAAATTCCACTGACCTAGAAACCACTGGTTTCCTTTTTTTTGGGGAGGGCTGGGGGAGGGTGTAAAAAACAGAACATCTGTCAATAAGAGTGTCAGGAGGGGGGTGTTAAATATTTTAACCACTGACAAGGCTTGAGGAAGTTTCACAGTTTTGTTATGCTCTATTTTATTACTATCATATTTACAGATTTTTCTCTCTTTTTTTTTTTTGCTGAATTGCTGATAATTTTAATAGAATTTAAATCTGGAGTGTGAGCAGGAACCAGTTAACTACATTCATTGTCCAATCCCCATTGGTTTGAGAAAAAGACTCCAAATTCTTGGCATATGAATCAGCTGTTGGGTAGCTCCTCCCTCTCCCCATGAGGCGGCAGCAGGACTGCAGCAGTGGCATGCACAGATTCACACCATGGCTGGTGGGGCCTTGCGCTGCAGAAAATATTGGTGGATGTTCTCGGCGTCCCGCTTCAGCCAAGCTGCATTCAGCAGAATATTTTCACAGCACTGCTGGACAGTGCGTTCTGCCGATGGAGCTGGGTGACTCTCAAAGAAGGCCTGTATAAAAAGCAGACAACCATCCATAAGGGTATAAACAGGCATAGACAAGATTATGTTTTTAAATTCCCAAATTCCCTAGGTTATATAGAACCGCTTTTGTGAAGTATGTTCCTTGTCTGGCTACATTTCATGCTATCTGCTCCCGCCAGCACTAGACTCTGAAAAACACGCAGGGTGCTGGCCGAGTTTGCAAGACGGGCAGTCCCAAGTACAGAGTGGGAACAGCAAAATGCCTCCGTTTCTCCGCTAAAGGAAAGCCACAGTAGCATTTCTACAAACTAGCCCAAACGCTGCCTCCTGTCCTGTCTTGTCCTTGCTGCCAGGGACAGCAAGCGGCACTTGAAGCGATGAATTCAGTCTCATTGGGAGGCAACAAATGAGCAGCAAATCAAGTGTGTATTTCTGGATACTTGGAAGAAGACACTAACGGAAGCCTAATGCCATTTTGCAAAAGCATTTGTCTACGTATCAGATTTCTTAGCATTCTACCTAGGCCTCTTTCCAAGCTGCATAATGACCTCCAAGCACCAGCAGCACTCAAGAGTTTTGCTTAATATTCTCACATTTCTTCCTCCAGAATCAACAATATCGATCCGCTGCAAATAGCTGAAGAAACTGCACCAGAGGCAGCTGTGACTTCGCACTTTACAGTTGGTTAAAGGGTAGAATAAAGCTGGCATAGCCGGGAGTCATCCCCCATCGTCGCACAAGCAGGCTTTTCCCAGTATCTGGGAGATCACCTCCCACTAACGTACGCTACAAGGTGACATCGACACGTTAAGTACTCCAGCTAAAAGCTAGGTGTGCCGTCTCAGGAAGTTCTCTTGGAAAATAGTTATGATTTAGTTATGGATGATTGTTCTGGTAAATGTTTTGGGAAGTGTTCCTTAAGAAAAAAATTAACTATAGTGCAAGATTTCTCCGTAAATCACTTATGCTACTAAATCTTTTCTAAGAAGAGATCACTAAATGATAAAAAAAGATAGATAGAGCTCATGGCTCAGCATGTCTTTGAAATAAGAATTCCTCCTGAGCGTTTTCCTAACAGGAAAGTGATAATTAAGGGCCATATTTTTAAGTTTCTTCTTCCAAGAAGGAGTCCCTGTAAAAGTGTGGGCAAAGAGTAAATAGCAAAACCTACACATATTTTTAAAAACGCTACCAAGACCAGCGCCTACACTCCCAAGTCAGAGGGGATGCCTGAGTCCAGTAATGAAATCACCTTGAGCCGCCAACTTCAAGACAGACTCTCTGCAAACACATTAATCTGCCTTGTGTCGAAGCCTCGCTCCTAGTGCACAGCACAAGCGACCACATAAAACTTGGACCTACTGTATGAAATTTAGCCAATTTCTGCCACGTTAATTCCCCCAGGAGTCCCTGGGTGCTAACGCAGTCAGCCCCAAATGTGCCATATTGGTCTGGGGAGGAACAAAGTGCTGGTGTAAGCCTCAGCTTACTAGGGAAGTTGTAACAACTACGAATTTTGCTGAACTATCTTTAAAGGTTGTCTTTTGGGGCGTCTCAAAATCACTGTCACAAACCGTGCTGGATTTTTTACAAAAAGTTTAAATGAGTGAAGCTAATGAAATAGAAATCACTGAAGTTGGACATGACTTTGTGCAAATGCTAATTTAAGACATTTGAATAAAATAACTCAACCTAAAGCAGTGCAATTCAGGGACTTGGCAACAGTCAAAATAGTCAGAGGCAGAGCCACAGCTGAAAACCAAAAACCACCTAGAAACTCATGGCTCTTCCATCAGGTGCCTACAGTCTCGAGCACACAATGTTTGTCACAGATGAAGTTAATCACTACTTTAATTAAATTTTCTTACCTTAACTTCTGCAGCCATTTTATCATTTGCAAATCCATCCACTGTTAGCTGAAGGAAAAAAAAATATTAACCGAGGGTAAGCATTTAGCATTTCAGATATAACGGTTTAGTTTTAGTCACGTATGTGCACAGGACTTTTCTCACAGCTGCGCATACCTTTATTAGTCTGGATATTAAGAATCCACCTTGGTATCGATTATAAAGTTCCTCCCAGTTGTCCCTTACAAATTTCCAAGCAGCTTTCCTCCCCTGCTTGCTGCCTCCAGCTACTCCGCCAATAACAGATACCGTGTCCTGGGGACGTACCTCTTCCTGCAGATGAAAAGGTAGACAAGCATTCAAAACTGTTTCAACAAATACAGCGTGTTGGCTTTATGCATTTCTACGCTGAATCTGTCAGCGATAGCTTTTTTTCTCCCCCCAAAAACTTTAAGATACAACTCAGATTTAATCGTTAAGACTATTCCTCCTATTCTAGCGCGCTATATGCGCACAGGGCTCTATCACCAAGTGCTCTGAGCACACTTCTCATTCTCATGAGGTAGGGAAGCAGCAGCTTTTCCAATAACTTACCGAAAGTGCAAAGGTGAGAACTTTTTGAATCAATTCTGGTTGAGAGATGGCTCCAAGAACTCGTTCAATTCGGTTCTTCTCCTCCTGCATGTCCGCTTGCTTGTGAAGCTTCAAAGCCAAAGTGAATAATATTAGCGCGGGGTATTAAATGCTGACTTCTTACCTAGCGCTACTGAACTTGCTGTATACGCTAGAGCGACTAGATTAGTCTTCAAGCCTAGTATGTGACAAATTGAACTTGTTCATGAATCATCCTTCAGCTATCCACATTACGGACCTCATTACACATACATCAGCACAAGTACCATTAGTAATAAACTGATCTTCACCACTGTTTATAGAAGGTCAAGTAGGACCGTGCCTCCAAGCAATGAAAAATAATCCTAAAATGAGAGATGCAGCAATCCACTAGGTGGCAATTTCACACTACACATGGCCCAAGGAACACCATAATGAAGCCTTAGTGCTCACATCATCCGTAAAACATTGGATTGAGCCTGTGTGCAGATAACCCACATCTTAGAGGAACTTGTAGGGTGGAATATTTAGCTTTTCATTGCATAAGCTGTTAGTGTTAACAACGGAGTGTGCACTCACCTTCAGCATAGTGTCTAAAGTAGTACTATCTCCATGCTTCAAAATAGTTACATATACCTAAGATAAAGCATAAACAAGGAAGGTCCTTCAAAAACAACACTTTTAGAAATGCAACAATCAATTTCTACATATTTGGGTTAGATTTCAGACAAGTGAACAGATCTGGAAGATACCAGCACTGATCCCTTCTATGTTTTAAGGCTGAATTGTAAAGATGCATCAACTCCTCTACCTCTTCCTCAATTTCAGCATAATTTTGGCAATTTCAACCACAGCAAAACACCAGAACAAGAAATCTTTGTACCACGCAACGCCTAGCTAGTAAGCGGTTCACATACGCTCAATCCATATCCACCGCAGTTAAGACTTCGTGCTCTGCAGGGCCAAGCTGACACCTCCAGAGCTCTTCCACGGGCCCTGCAGTTTGCCACGGTGCTTTTAAATCTGGAGGTTGTAGGCTGGTCACGGATGGATGTAAATGAGTAGAAGTCAGCTCGGGTTCAGCCCTGCACTTCAATAGTCTTCAAAACCCAAAAAGCAACGCAATCTAGAGACCAGACTTGTGCCATGGCAGTCAACGGGGGTACAGCTGAGCTTATGAGTTATGACTAAGTATTGGCCAGGACAGGTGAGGCTTACTTGATTCAAGAAACACGGGGATGTTTGTACCACGCTCCCCAGTATCATTTTCTTCATAACTGGACTTATCCAAGCTCCCACCACCTCTGCGAAAACCAATTGTTCTCAAACCTTGACACTGGTTCCCTCTATCCTCCCTGTTCTTGGAAATATAAAAGTTCAGTGCACACAGTGCTAAGTGAGTGGGGACAGCCTTTTTGGAACCAAAATTTACAATAACCTACAGGACTCCTCAGATCAGCTGACAGCACATGTTTTCCTTCCACATGGTCCTTAAATCGGCGTCGGGCTTCTTCTAACGTTGCCTTGTGCCCAGCTTTTCCTAGTTTGCCCAAGACCAGACCTCTCAGAAGGGCGTCTAGATGACCTAATGAGTGAGTAGGAGGAAAAAAAATTATTATTTGGAGACACAATTCAGCAATTAAGCATTCTTCCACCTCGAGGGATCAGGGCAGAGCTGTATAACAATCCTTCCACACGCCTGAGGATATCTAAAGAAACTAGGCCTTTTCTCCCTATCCTTGGCACCAACTGGAGAATGCATTGATTTTTTTACAGCAAGAGGGTCAGGGAAAGATGATTCTGGCCCGAGTACAACAGGCTAGGCCTGTAACCTGAGCTAAGTCAGTAATATTAACCATTTGCGTATACAACAGGACTGACTAGGACAAGTAAACATGCACGTACATGGCTTTCCATCCTTGCAGTCTAATAAGTTTCATGCACTCCAACAGATGCAAAGCTGGAGCAGGGAATTTTTATCAGTCAGTGACCAGGTAGGGAAAAGTGTTACCATTTTAACTTGCGCCTGATAACAAAGTGTTGATTGGGGGGTTTGTGTTTGTCTGTCTGTTTTTAAGTATAAAAATACTCCTGAATGCCTGCTTCAGACTTTTCTTCCTCCCTTCTCTCCCCTTTCCCAAAATCTTGATGGCTTATTTACACACGAGTTTTCCAAAACCACTACTGGATTTCACAGCATAAGTTTCCTACCCTCTCCAGGTTTGGGGTCCCATCCCAGTCTCTCCCCTATTGGTGAAAAGACATCTTTCACGAACACCTGGATTTCCTCATAGAAGTCTGTGTGGGACAAGAGAGTTGAGAGGATCCCCAGGTTACAGCTGAGGTCGCTCCACACAGTATAATTGGGCTCATTCACAAAAGCTTCCATGACTTTTAGAACCTCTACAGTGCTAATGATTCCAGCTCGGGCCTGGGAGAGGAAAAGACAGAGATTAATCTTACTTCCAAACAGAATGAAGATGTTTAATAACTCATCACGTTATTGTTACAGTTGTCCCTGTTCAGTTTGCACAGCCTGCACATACACGCTCCATTTTCTCTGTTGTGGGATTCTGCCAAGGTGAGTTACCGCTAGTCAAAGCACCTGAGCTGTCTGCTCAAGGCACCATACTTTTTATACACAGGTAAGCACTTTACAAGGAGACGTAATAATATATGTTATATATAATTATATAACAACTATATAATTATAAGCACATTTTGCAAACAAGAAACAGACACGGAGATTAAGTGACTTAAAATTGCAGCAACACTGGCAAGAAAAAGCAAACCCCCAGAGTTATTCTCAGCCAGATACTACACCCACCAAAATCTTATTTTAACTAAAAACTGTAAAGATTTAGAGATTTAAATTTTGCTCTTCATTAAATTGAGAGTATAAAACTGCGGAAGTCAGTTTTGCTTCCTGCTTCCGTCAATTAGTACAAGAAGTACTGCCTTTCCACCACTGCCAGGAAAACTTTATATGAACTGCTTCATAGCACCATGAAAACACTTCTATGCTTCGTGCCGTTGATAATACCTACAGTAGGTATCTCCGATCAGATGGTTCGGATTTTTGTTAATCTGGAACTAGATCAGAATTTATGGCACCAGAAAAGAGGTGAAGATCAATTTTTATTACCTAAGCTAAATTCACCTATGATAAAAACATGATTAAAACAGAAAACAAAATAGGAGTCTAACACAAGGTTCCCACGTGTATTATTTGCTCAATTTTTTTGTCCCATTAGTTTTGCAACATCTGGGAAATGACTCCGGCTACAGTTTCAAATGCCTTCAACTAAACCATGACAAGAGTTACAGGCTCTGAAGCTAGAGAGGCAGGGTATCAAACCCACATTTTTAAAAAGTTTCCATATACTTGCTGACTAGCAAGAATAAGAAAGCGCAATCTGAAATACAGAGCACAGTAACTAATTGGTCAGAGCTAGCAACACCTGCTTTGGGGGTAATCCCTTGCTTTTAAACAGTAAGAATACCCAACAGCCACATCCTCCAGTGGAGGACAGTTTTAACAAGCCCAACTGAATAAAGCACATGGTGCTGATAGCATTTCATAAAGTCATTGAGGGGGTCATTAAAATATCCTTATTTTGATGAGTTAAAAGAAGGCAAGTCCTCAAAACACTTAATTTTTTTACAAAAACCTATAGTACAATACACCCCTACAGAGAAAGTGTGACACCAGTTATAGACAGACTGCTTCCATAGGGCTTAAGTCTTATAACACAAATTAGAACTTGTCAAGCTAATTAATAGCTAGATGCATGCAGTAATCCCAAAGGCACTTTGCCTCCAGAAACTGAGGCTGACTCTTCAGACACGGATTTCTGCAGTTACTGTAGCTCTCATTAGTACACAGAATAGCAAAGGGTTGCTTACCAGAGAGAAAAGATCATTCTGCAGGCCAAGCCTGTCCACGGGGGGTAGGGAGAGGTCTTTGATGGCTGGTATTAAACTCTCCAGCATGTCAGGGCTATACTGAGTACGGTAAAACCCTACTGTTCCAAGGTTTAACTGAAATGTACCAAAAGAGTAAAACGTTAAAAGGAAGAAATAAGGAAATGCTTTTTTACTTTTGAACCACCAGAAATTTCTCAAAGCATCACAGCTCAGAGAAGTCAGTCACTATCATTTAAATAAAAAGAAAAAACAAATCACAAGGGAGAAAGACTTAAGATTTCAAAGAAGAAATGCTCACTAAGAGGAACAGAAGAAGAGAGAGAGATGACAAAGAAAAAGAGGCTAGAGCTAAAACTAGGAGCAAGGAGAAAAGAGAAACTTCTCTTCTAGGGGTAACTCCTAACTGCAGTAAGGGTAGTCATGCACTGAGAAGATAAAATGCAGAAGACTGCAGGTGCTAGAATCCTAACTTTTGTAACCTCTCTCCCACAACCTGCTCCATTCAATTTTGATAGAGAAAACCATTTTCTTAAGAAAGGAGAGCAACCACCTCTGCCCGGCGTAAAAGCAAGTCATGGTCAGTAAGCCTGATGAACTACACTGGCTACATGCTGCTACCTACTAGCGTTTTAGCGTAGATGGTCCAATATCGTGGTTGGTTGAACAACAGTACCTGGCATAAACCAAAACCACTGCTGAGCTCATCAGGAAGTCGCCCCCTTTGCTGCTGCTGCGATTTTGGTCAGTCCTCAGGACTATGGCACTAACTAAAAACCTGACAGACTGACAGCCTTCGCAGCCAGCAGTCCCCAAAATTCACCTTGGACTGAGCTGGATCGTTGCCTTCTCAGGCAGAAATATCAAACTTTACCCTCATTTAGACAGGGCATTTTCAGAGCTGTTCATTCATTCCATGCCCCTCTCTACTACCAGGGAGGACCCAGACAGACAACGGCGATTCAAGAGAATACGCAGGCCTGACAGCTGGAATGCCCGTGTTAGTTAAATAGGAAGATTTGATTAAAGTTTAAAAAAAGAGACTAACCCTTAACGTTATTTCACGGAGTCAACTCTCAGAGTACAGCTCTGGCTTAGAAACAACTCCTCTTCAACCTCAATAGTTCATACAGCGATAGTCCCAGCCAGTTGCTGTCTTGCAATTTCTAAATTCACAGTTTGGCTGGTGTCTGCAGGAGACCCCCAACAGTGAATTTTTTCACTTGCAGATTTGTAATTGTCTGGCAATAGCCAGTAGAAAACCTTCACACTAACGAAAGATAAACAGGACTATTTTGCTTAGGATGGACTTTAACTAAACTGCGGTTGCCATGGGATACCAAAAAAAAGCCACCATATTTCAACTCGAAAGCCGCCTCTAATTGCACACTGTTTTTCCAGGCTCGGACTCCTAAATGGTTCAAGTTTACATTGTCTAGGCTACTCTTGGAAGGCAAAGGCCTACACTAAGCAAGCGTTATAGAGAGGAGCCAATATTCAGCAGCAGCACAGAGAGGCCCCTCCATAAGAGATAAAAGCTTGCAAGGGGGGAAGAAAAAAAAAGAAAAAGGGAGAAGAGGAAAATGAAATGCAAGGGAGCGTTACAGTGACAATCAAACTTATTCCCAGTAATATGTTCTCCTTTGTGACAACTCACCTTCACCCACTGGTCTGGTCTGATGTCTTTCAAAACCAAGGTGAGCTCTGGTTTGTCCATCAATATTTGCATTTTGGCACAGGTGGGGTCATCACTTGTACAAATACTTATGGGGACCATCCACATGGGGAAATCCTCCCCTAAAAGAAGAAAGAAAAAGGAAGGCCTAAGGAAAAAACAGTATGCACACAACACTGAGAAACCCTGCCTGATGTTCAAACAAGTTTCGGCAGCAGCATTTTAAGCAAGGCTACTTAAATTTAAATCTAGAAAGGCACAAATCTGAAGGAAAACAGTTTTAGAGAAACCAGGAACGTCTAAATCACCTTTCAAGCCAAACATTTTAATTTCCATAAGCATGGAAGATGGGTGGAATCTGTGTCTTAAGACAGAGCTGGCTCCCATATGAGGCATTTTTATGTCAGCACTACTATAAAACCAGCAGCTTACAGAGCTCCTCAGATGGCAGCACGGGCCGTAAACTGGAGATCAGAAGAGAAGCATCTCGGAACGAAAACCCAACCAAAGACTGCAGATGAATGCTGTTCTCCATGCAAGGAGGACATGGAAACCACATGCGTGAGAGCATTCAACCTGAGATTTTCTACGGTTCTGACAAATACTTAAACACCTGCATCCAAGCAGAGCACCTGCCTGCTCTGCAGTGCAGCTGCTTCATCTCTCAGAATTGCTGCCATTGCATGAAAAGCAATGAATACTCCGCTCCTACTCTTAGCACTCATCTTACCAGTATATGGTCCACTGGCACAGAATTTCTTCTGGACTAACTTCAACACTTTGTCATCTTCTTGCTGAGGGAAGAAAAAAAAAAAAAAAAAAAAAAAAAAAAAAAAAAAGAAAAGAAAAAGAGAGAAAGGAATTATCAGAACATCTAATCTCAACTTCTGTATATCACAATACATTCATGTGCCCTCTGTTAAACAGAGGAACTTGTATTCTCCTCCAGAATAAGCAGCTACCTCAAGAATCATTCCAATGCATTAATCACTGTTACTGTTAAAACATACATGCCCTATTTCTCATGTGAATTTGTTGTCCGACTTCAGCTTCCAGCCAGTAATCCTCACTCACCCTGCAGTCTTGTAGAATAAGCATAATTAAACTGGAGTGAGAAGCGAAATGTGTGGCAAGGGAGCGAAGTCAGATATTCCCTCCCCCCAACACACATTTCACACACAAAGAGCAAACGGGCACGTCGGCAACCTCCAAGCACATGATCTAGAGCGCTTGTGGAATAACTCCGTGTTGCTTTGCACTAGGTTCCTCAAGTGAGCTGCACTTCCCCTCCCTTCAGAAACAGAACTGTCACTAAACAAAGCAACCCACTGTACTGCCTCCTGATCAAAGAGAATTTTTGAAATAACTGGATACTACTACATTTGATCCTAAAACACAGTTAAAGGCAGAACTTTTGATCTGAAGTGCTGAAAAACGCACAGTTGTATTTACCTGTTCAGCTTCCACATAAATGAGTGGAAATCCCATTTGTTTGGTCCATGTGTTCATCACAGCAGCAATAGGTTTACCACTAGCTTTTTCCAGGCTTTCCCAGAGGTCCTCTGCAGAAGAAAAGTCTGACTAAGGACTCCCAGAGTCTTGACATGTCAGACACTATTAAGGATGCCATATGGGCACTGGAGGGTGGGAGGCTGTATTATTACTCCAGTTTGCCCTTCATGTTTTGGGTTGTGTTTTTATCGGATTGTAACAGATGACAGGCAAGAAAAAGGAAATAGTTTAAACCACTCATGGGGAAGAGAGGGAAGAAGAAAGCCTCTTTACTACTAAAAAAATGCAATCAATACACATTGTGATAAAGTATAATAAAAATGAGCATTAAATATTCAAAACGGTAAAGAGAAGAATCTTTTCCTTAAGTTTTTCTTATATTATGCCGAAAGAGCTGACCGAACATGGACTGTTTTTGGCTGATAGAGCATGATGTTCCACTTCCACATTTATGCCTGATACACAAAAAAGATTTAAGTAAAGAAAGCGCTGTGAGATACTAGACAAGAGACTTTGAACTGTTTAATCACACGTGCAATCAATACTGCAAAAGGCTTACATGGCAAATCAACACACTCTATTTCTAAATTAGATTACTACGCAGATGTGGTTATCAACGGTAAATGCAGCCCTTTCAGATTACCTCAGCCACATATTCCAGAGACAGAGAACCCCTAGAGGATCCTGAATTCTGGCTGTGCAGGGGACACATTGTATAAAACTGGAAACAAGCCAGTTATTTCCTTGCATTTCAGTTCTCTCAGGTGGAAAAAACAACTGTTTAAGAATCCATCACTTCAGCACTATTAATTTTGTCTCCAGAAATCACTTTTCTTAAGCATATAATAACCACCGGTTACCTGTAGCAGCATTCTTCTGCTGGAACTTCGTTAAATATAAATTCATTCCTTTCCGAAAGTCCTGGGAACATAAAATTGAACATGTAATGGCACCAGAACGGAGGTCCTTTCTATCCTCCCTCCGCGCTGCATTTATATTCAAGAATCGGCCAAGGAGCCTTAGGATCAGTATGTACATCTGTAACTCCTTCCATATTTTCCCACTATCCTATTTCTCCTACGTAAGTTCAAATAGAGCCCAAATACAAGTTGGAGAAAAGTTTTCAAAATACAGAATACACAGATTTAAATATTTTTATGAAACAGTACTTTTAACTGTAAAAAGAATTGACACTCTACACTTGGCTTTTTAACAACAAACTTTTTACCTCATCACCAATGTAGTCATGTAGCATTCGGATTACAGATGCTCCCTTGCTGTAAGAAATAGCATCAAATATTTCATCTACTTCAGATGGATGGCCAACGCTAACCTGTGGTGAATAGGATAACGAACAGTGAGAACAATTTTACCTGCCATCAGATTTTGATTTTGCTTGTTCTAGTGTTTAAGGAGCTGACTTTTCTCACTGAAGAAAGCACATGTATATCCATCACTAAATGGTCTTAGTGGAATCTCTGCACCCTCAATTAAACCTATGCACACATATCCTGGGTTAGGATTGGTTTCTAGGTTAAACATACTTTAACTTAGGGTTTTGGTATTTAATCAAATAGACTGGGGGATTTTGCTTCAATCCTTTGGTTCGACACTTACCCAGAAGTGAAAAAAAAAACACAGTGGAAGTCATTTAGTTCTGGGACAGTGAACAATACACACTCAGGAAATGCACTCAATGAGTAAGTCACTCTAAAATGACCTGTTGTACAAAGCAAGGTCATCTCCCAACATCTATTACATCAAACATTTCCTAAGCTATCTGAAAACTTGTCCATGGTGATCTCCAGGAATTACAAGGGAGTCTTCTTTTAGCACAGCTCCCAGTTTTGCTGTAATTGAGCTTGCTGCTGCTGCCTTCTCTTCATCACTGAACCACTGCCTTGTTTCCAAAGCAGCAAGTCCAGCTAGATCCTACTTATTTCAAGAGCGTCTGCATCCCACTCACCGTTTTGGGAGTACAACGCAGAAACACCTGAGGTGGCCTCAGACGGAAACCAGTACAAGCCCAGCAAAGTTTGGTAGCTTGGGCTCTGGCTTTTGCTGCCCTTTGGTTTATGTCGTTGAGCTCTGGAGTAAGTCAGTAGCTACTTCACTGTGCTGAAGGGCCAGAAAACAACCCACTTCGATCAGAAACCAAAACAAAACACAAGTAATGATGAGTTTTGGTCACAACTTTGCCATTTCAAGTCAGTAGAGCAGAAAAACTCCAGAAGAAGCCATCTTCAGACCCTCAAACCTCACTTCTGAAATACTCATTCAAGCAGAGGAAAATCCACAAAGTGTAAATGCAACCTTAGATTTTCCTTTGCATTGTGAATGACTGCAAAGTTCCCTTTTTTCTAAATCGGAAAAAAAAGCTTACACACAGCTGACAGAAAAAAAGGCAGACAATAGCAAAGACAGAACTTACTTCAATAGGATGACTGTTGTCTAAAGCATCAAGCTCTTGAGCTCGTGTGTAATCAGCAGAAACAAACTGAGTCCAGATATCGTACTCTGGGAAACAGTGATCTACACATAGGTACTCAATCCAGGAGGCAAATCCTTCATTCAGCCAGAGATGGGTCCACCATTCCTGGGAAGATGAGAAGGCAGAATAAAGAACAAAATTCCAACAGCTTCATTTAATCAACAAGAAGTTTGCAGCAAAGACAAGCTGTTAATGGCCTAGTTTAGTACAAATCAAAGAAAAAGGTAACAATTGTAAGCACAAAGTCCTCTCTATAAAGAAGTCATCGGCCCAGGAAGAGTAATCAGCACCCTATAGCTGTCTTCCCCTGTCTTAAATTTTAGAAACTCTGCACGGAGAGCTGCATCAGGTAACAAATTAAATTCCCCAAGACTAGACTAGAGGTCAGAGCAGAGCCGCTGAGGGAACAGCCATGAATGTTACCTAGATCAGGGAGAAGAGTCAGTGACATGCAAGGCCATGGTTCAGTAAAGCAGCAGAGTTGTGGGCAACACAATGACAGTATCTATTCCAAACTGAATAGCAGCAGCTGCAGAAGACTGATTTTATTTGGTTTTGAGTTTGTTTTTTTGCTAAAGATGTTTATATAAAGGAGAAAACCTGGAATCTGAAAAAGCGTTCCATTTGTTAACAGCAGAAGCTCTGACAAATACAGGTTTCAGTTTTTAGCACTAAATGGAATTTATTTACAGATTTCAGTCTTGCTGCTTCAGCTATGCAGTTATTCTCACCAAAATGACTTAAACATCAAACCATTCAGACAGCTGGCTCCCCATATATTCAAAGTAATTCATATGAGTTACTACCGAGCAACTTTTCAGCTACTGGCCTAGAACAATTTGCAACGCTGAGCTGGTACTGATACGACTGCTTGGGATGAAAGCCTGGTGAGTGAATCATGCCTACCTGAAAGGAAAATAGCGGATTCTCGCTTCTAAGTAAGCTGACTGGCCAAAATAATTTCCATGGAACACCTGCTCAGCTCTAACTAGGACTATATTCAAAAAACTGAACAATACTTCACATAGAAAAGATCTAGGAATACTTCCAAAGAACACACTAGTAAAGAAGAAAGTGATAATATAGCACTATTTAAATATTTCATTTTTTTATTTTAAAGATAGCATGCCTGCTATTAAGGGGCACTTGAACACACACATGATACGAAGCACACGTCAAAGAAAACTAGAAGAACTTGTAACTGTTAGATACCATGGTCACAAGGTTTCCAAACCACTGATGAGCAAGTTCATGTCCTACAACCAGAGCAACCCACTGGCGAGATGAAGAACAGGAATTTTTGGGGTCAATGAGCAATGCAGTCTCCCTGTATGTAAGAGAGAAAGACAACTGAACAGTGGTACATGCCTAGGGAAAAAACACAATCAAAAGTAGGTTAAATTACTTAAGCAAGCTAAAAAGTGATCAGTACAACTGAAAAAAACCAAAAGCTGTTTCAGTTTAAACATTAAATTATTTTGGCAAGTTCCACAGCTGTTGGAATGCTTTGGAGCAATAATTCCTTATGGCATGCAAGAAGACAAGTGCAAAAACCCAGGCAGGAACAAGAAAGTTTATCCTTCATTTATAAAATAGCTCACCTACATAATCTAGGAACCTTAACTGTAACTCCCTTTGCACTGCATGAGGTATGCACAGCAAGTCTTCTCTGCCTCCCTCATCCCCAAAGGAATTCCAGCTCTTCCAAGCACACAACCAGCCGCGTTACACTCACCACTGCAGATGCACAAGATTCTCCACGCAGGGCACACGTGCACACACGCATACACACGCAAGTGCTCCCTAGGTCAGGCACACAACCTTCCGCTAGAAACACCCCTGTCATGAGCAGGACTTAGCGGGTCAGTCAGAAAGGGCTTCTGGACCGCTGCAACTCAAAGGGGAAAAACGTGCGTCTCAAAACATAGATGGTGCCTGCAGATTAGGCCAACCTTCTGTCCCCAAAGGGATAAAGCAAGCGTGCCAAACTGAGCGTAAAGGGGAAAAAAAAAAAAAAATTAACAGCACAATTAAGAAAGGCTTCCAAAAATTCTACTCATCCAGGACAAATTTCTTTTTTCCACAGGGAGTATAATATCAGGTTTCATCAGAATTGCGATAAGCAGACAAGTAGATTTTAAACCTGGGCTCAAATTTCCATTTCAATTTTTTAAGGCCAAATTAAAAGTTTAGCCAAAGAAATTAAAACTATTTCAGGATTTAAAGTCCAAAGCTTACAAGACCAATGTTGTACAAAATGAAGGAAAATCATTCTAACAATGAGCACAGATAATGTAATAGTATCAAGCAAAAGTACAAAAGCTTGATCAGATGAACAAAAAAAAAAAAAACTGAAAAGGAAGGCAAGTTAATATTTTTGATTTACTCATACCCACATGGTTATACTGTGGTTGCTAAATTTACCAACTTGCCTACAACACAAAACAAGAAACTCTTCCAGCTGTGTCAGTAAGTACATAACTTTTATGGGGAAAAAAGCGGCCAAGAAAGTTCTCTTGTAGAACAGGCAGTGCTGCCAGACACTTAAAAATCTCACACCCTTGGACAGTAGTTGTAATAGCTCATTCTTGCCTTCCTAAGATTTGTACGATAATGCACGCTGCTGCAGAAGTTAAAATTATCCAAACCAAAGCAAGAGTTGAAGGTATTTACTCAGTCTTATTTGGGATGATACCCAGTAATTACAGCTCCCTAGAACTAATCCAATTACTTCCAAGAATTAGTGAACAAAGAGGGGGAAAGACAGTATTTTAACAGCATACCTATAAGTAACAAGGCCCCAGTTCTCCATGGCACCTTTATAAAATAAATACAAAGGTTTATTGATATTGATACACACCTCTTCCTAAATGTTTAAAATTCAAATAAAATACAGTTCATCAATAAAGTGAGTTACTTTACCAGCAGCAAAGTCTGCAATAGCTATGAGATCAATTTTAGGAAGAGGGTAAGGAACATTGAAGTAGTCCTTATAAAAAGGCAGAGTTTTAGCAGCAACCTGTAAGAAACAAGAGGACAAATGTTAACTTGGAACCATTAGTAAAACTTGAAAATTTATGACTGAAACCAGCCTAAGAAAGCAGCGTACACAAGATTTCTTCCAGAAGCCCCATTTCCAGCTTCTAGAGCCCAATGGTTTGGAACTCCCATGCCCTTCCTCTCCAGGCTGCAGCCTACCCTTCGGTACTTCTCATCAACTTTGGACCAAAGTCTACATCACCAAATCAGAACTGAATTAAAGCATATGTTTTCATCATTATAAACATTAGTTTGTCCACAACTGAAATTCTGCTTAATATCGAGCCCGGTCTCTCCGAGCCATTAAGGCAAACACCCCCCTCAAGAGCTTTGCGTGGATTTAGGTGACTGAACAGAGGAGAGCGCTATGTCCAGCCTGTCGGAGATGGCTACAGCAATAACGAAGTCACCCTGAGCGCATTTACCTCTAATGCAAACTTTCCTTGTTCCGCTTTGCCCACAGGAGTGTAAACACGCACTAAGACACCATCAAGGGACCTGGCCTCTACGAAGTCATATTCTCCCACCACAAACGCTACAAGATACGTCGACATTACAGGGGTGCGAGCAAACTTCACTTCCACCAGATTTTCATCGTCTGGGTATGGTTTCCGGTCAATGACATTCTTTCAACATGAAAAGGAATCAGTTAGTTTCATGGAAGCGAAACTATTACACAATACATTTGACTAACTATTCCATCATTATGACTCACGCATTTAAAATGAAAGGACTTCTTTTATGATTTTAAAATACAGACCACAATGTAGTTCCCCTCCTAACTAAAAATGCCCCGTCACATATGGAGCTGTACTTTTATAATATATACGTTATATTCCATTACTGCAAAGGCAGCTGAACACATCCGCTATCAGCTGCTGTCCTTCAAAGAGAATATTACCCACATCCCAGTAAGGCACCAGGCTTTCACTTTAAATTCTGAAACAGAAACCATAACCATGTGGTCAGTGGGCAAGGCTAGACTTTACCAGTAACTGAAAGTTAGCTACTAGAATAAAAAAGTCTATTTTTAAACTGACTTGCTCTTCTCCAGCAACATCTTCTAGAAATAATTGCACCATATTTAGAGTAACAACCTGAAAATACCCACTCGTATTTGTGACAGAGATACTTCTACTCGCACACTGTACCCCAGTTCTGGTCAAAAAGTCTCTAGGGCAGAAAACATGCTTATTTATCTCAAGTGCTATGCCTGCTTATGTAGCTATAACAGCTATATAAACATGCAAAGGCATTTTTTTCCCCCCCAGTCACTCTTAAATCAAGCAGCACGTGGCATGACATATACTAAGACTTTTTTTTTCTTTAACCAAACACCACTGTGGTTTGTACAACCTGTTTAGGTTTTGTGCTAGCATCTGACATCACAATATAATCTTTTCAAAAGTTCTCTCAATTTAGAGCTGCTTAGTATAGCTAGCAAGACAGCCTATATTCCTAATTCTGTCTGTTACCAAGACACGCTATTAACTATCAAATAATCAGCTAGCGTTATTACAGTTTTATTTAAAACACTGTTTACTTGCCCATCAAGAACTTACCATATTTGACAAAGCTACTCTGTCTTTAGGAACCACCAAAGAAATATCAAATGTTGCCTTAATAGCAGGCTCATCCCAGCAAGGGAAAGCTCTGCGAGCATCAGTAGCCTGAAGGAAATAAGAGCATTAAACAAATAAATCACAAGAGATTGTGGCAATAAAACACACACAAAAATTCAGCATATTTTACAGGCAAGAAGTTGGGTGAATGATGGCTAGTCATTGATGTAGAGTCTCCTCAGTGACACTCTTGACCTCTGCATTAGAGCATTTTATTCTTACTGTTATAACTTATTTCACTCTTGGTTTAAAAAAAAAAAATGCAGCTGAAAAGCACTCTGTGCTCCGATGGAATTCTACAGTCTGAGCAAAATTTAGCAGAGTCATGACAGGAGCAAAGCTCAGTCATGTGAAAGCAGAGAGGGCACCCAGGCGTTCACAGACTGTACGCACAGACCACCTATTTATATTCTGTCAGTAGACTGCACCCAAGAAATGTTCTATTTGTACGAGGTAAGTACTCCATGTTTTTATGTAACCAGGCAGATAACTATGAAATTACAATATGGTATGAAATTCTGTCATCATGTCCAGGGTTTACATAATACTTGAGACAGTATCTATCTCAAATTTTGGATGTTATTAAGATACTGAGATAAAGGCAGTGCCCTATTAAAAAAATTAACATACTTCTTAAAGGAAAGTTATACAGAGATATTTGAGCACATCTAAATTCTTAAACATCGCAGCAATTGTATATATACGATGCATCACACATCAGCATGATCCTTGGCTGGGGAATTTGCCAGATCCAGAATTTACTGACCTTGAAGTCGCAATGTAAAGGCTGCTTTTAGTATTACCCATCCACACTAAGAGCAAATAAATATGGATTTTTGAAATTTACCCGGAGGGTATAGCTAAAGCTAGGAAATCGTGTCTTTGCTTCTTCTAAGCATAAATCCTATATAAAGAATGACATTCCCTGAAAACAAAGATATAGCCCATACCTCAAACTGAGTGACAGCAGCATAGCGTGTGTCTCCAGTAGGGGTGGTATATTTACTTCGGTAAAAACCTTTCATTTTATCATTCAGCTCCCCTACGAAGTCTATCTTTAGCGTCCCTGTCCCTGTAACAGAAACAGATGGGGCATTGTTATTTGCATGTGCCAAACAGAACATTTATTTGGTCTGGACCTTCAGGCCAGGCTACTCAGCTGGCCGACTGCCCTTCTGAAATAAGATGTCCCTTCAACTCATCTCCACCCATCACTTTTTTGCCAGCCTCCCTCAAAGCCTTCACTCTCCTTACATAAAATAAGCTCCAGCAGAGCAATGCAGGCAAAGCCAGACTCACCACAGCATTTTAGCACTTGATCGGCAAAGGCTGTTGCAGTCTCATTTCTAAACACAACGCAACAACCAGGAGAGACCTCCCTTAAGCCATTTGAGAAGTCCGATCCTACAATCCTTACTTTTCAGTAAAGTTTGCGACAGTATAGGATGGCTACTAACTAATAACAGCAACCTATGAAATCTACTACAAAAAGCCAAGACGGAGCACTGGCTGCATTCAAGCTCCTAAGTCAATTAGTCTCAGGATTTATTCTGCCCTCGATGTCTCAGTGCAAAAGGGGAAACCTGATCTTGATCAGAGATCAGCATGCCAGCATCCCACAGAATGAAACACTGAAGTTTTATCACCCTAGAATCTTTACATTTGTATTTGTCAAGATGAAATAAAACTGTTTTATTCAAACTGAGGAGCTGAGTTTCAATCGACCAACTCCTCAGAGCAAAAAAACTGCAGCAGTTTCGAAAGAATTAGTATATTCACGCCTAGGAAAATGCTGCAGTAACTCAGATTAGCTCATTCTTGGTAAGAGGAAAACAGATCATCAGTAGCTAACATAAACAGCTTCTGAGCCTAACTCCCAATAGCAGGTAAATAATTAGAGTCACCTCTGGTGCTGGAAGCAAACATCACCATTTGTGAAACAACATTTTCAATTCCAAAGTCTCACAAAGTGACTTACAGTGGACAGACTCCCTAGGGAGCACTACATTTGCAGTCAGAAACTTCAGGGGAGACAGAACTGTCCTACTCCAGCTTTTTCAAGTGCAAACATCTTAAACACATGGTTGAAGCAAGCAGAAAGCATGAAAATAGCTCTTACCTTTCTGAAGAGTACTGGGAAAGGAGAGAGTAACCTTTTCATCCTCATTTTGATAGTTGAACCCTGTGGCATGTACCTCTGAAAGAGAAAACCAGACTACTTTGTTTGAAATAAGCCCCAGACATGTTTACGTAACTCATGAACATTCAAAATTAACTGAATCGGCTGAATCCAACAACGCGCTATAGTTACTGAACAAATCAATGAAGATTTTGAATAATCCAGAACGATATAAATGCAAGCAACCAAAGAAACGCCACCCATTGTCGGAGTTCCATGTTATATTATCTTGCTTCAGACAAATAAATCTAACACATTTACATCCGACTATACAGCCACAGACTCAAAGCCCCACCACCATGCTCCTTCCACCTCTGCCCTGCGTCCTGGCCATCAGAACGCCGCGCTCGTACATGGCAGGGAAGTCTTCCGCTGTGCCGAGTAATGAAAGCTGTACTGTTAAATTGTAAACTTGCAGTAAGACCAGTATCCTACACAACACCAAGAACGCTGGTAACAGCTACTACAATCCTGACAAATGTTAAAATATTGCACAAAACTTCCCCTCAATATTAAACGCTTACATCAGCGCAGCAGGATTCTCACTAATTATTCCAAACGGGATGCTTATGATTAATTAATTTGTGGATCGCACTTTGAAAAGCATGCTAATAACCACAGCAAGGTGGTTTTGTTTGGTTTTAACCAGAAAGAAAAACACAACATTGATTTTATTTTAAAATTGTCTTCAGAACCAGAGACCTACCTTGGAGTTTATATACCATTCAGCAAGGGCATCCAAAATCAACCAGAATATTAAGCAGTATGGCATTTACACAGCATTGGATCTATTTGTAGATGCAAACATCCGAACTAGGAGGCCAAGCTGGACAGATGGGAGGGAGGGAATCGGCACACAGGAATTAAACTGCCATGCAGATAAGAGTTAGCAGAGCCCAGAGAGAACACCTGGGGTTGCTTCTTCCTTCCTAATTCATCAAGTCCCACTTGCTGCATCCAAGGTGACGTACATTGATGCTCCTTCAACAAAAAATCTGAAGTAGCTATGCAGGACCTCACTTTGCCAGTTCTGCTACCTATGTCACTCCATACTCAACCACGGCAATGACTAGCTATCTTTAAGGAATGCAAATCTGCACCAAAACAAACGAGCAGTGCTTTCCACCACACATCAGCATCTTGAACTACCAAACTTGGTAAGCCTGGACACAGTAATACGTCTTTCTATGCAGACATACTGATGCATAATTCTGGATTTATAAATACAATAAACATTTGGCAGTTCAGTATAGTTTTGAAAGATATGGGAAATGCATAGACCAGTTTAAAGTAACAGCATTCCTAGCAGAAGCTGCCCATCCCATCCCACTCACATCACTTAAATCAAAGTGAAAACACACCTGGGATACTGAAATGCCAGCAAGGGTCTAGCAACCTTTTCAGGTACTTTCAAAATTGACCTAGGAAGAAGGATTCAGTACATAGCTTCAGTTGTCCACTGAAATAGATAGTAGTTTCGAATGGTCACAGAAAAAAAGGACAAAAAGGAACACTGGAAAGTGCTGATACCTCCTAAAAGAAAAATGTACCACTATATCAACTTCTTCATTATGTGGAATTCTAACAACAAAGCTTGTCTGAAACAACAATTTAATTTACAGAACGACCTGTCTTCCACGCTCAAGTATCACTACATGAATGCAGGTATTTGGTTTCAGAGGAAGCCTAAGCACAATCACAAGATGTTCAGCTAAGTTGTTCCATATGTGACAAAAGTAACTGAAAACATGTTTTTATTTTCATAAAATTTAAAGTGCTATTTATTCTGGAATAGTATGATTTCAGCCTTAAGTCGGAGTTAATACCAACCTCTGCTCACAGAGAACATAAATGCAGAAACTGCATGAATACATTAGTCTTAACTACTGGTTTCACAGTGCTCTGCTCAGCGTTTAATCAGAGTTAACCACCATGCTAGGGTACATAATACATAAACACTTAAAATAAAAGAATTCTAGCTGTAAAAAAAAAAAAAATACAGTACAGAAACAAACTCAATAGAAAAAATTCTTTACAGGATCAAGAAGAACTTTAGACTTCTAAAGCCTACAGTCTAGTGACTGTACTGAGGAGTTCCAAGATTTTTAAAATCAACTCTAAGAGGGATGAGATAGACCGTTTAAACAGAATACATGCCAAGGACAATGCCAGCAAGCGTTGGGCAATGAGCAACAATTTAGCTTTAGGTTTAGCTTTTCTTCTTATAACTCTGTGGAATACTGAGGCAGAAAAGGAGACGTTATGAGAGAGGTGGAGAGAAGATATTGAGGGGAACAACGCTAATGTACAACACACTAGTCTGAAAGCGGGCTTCCAAGCAACACAGAGCGGAGCTGATTGCTGACTCCGTCGTTTAGATCCGATGAATTTTGACGCCGGCTGTCGTTAGAGTCCAATGGACCACAAACCTGTTGTTCTGCAATAGCATGTTAGTGACCTCGGGCAGAGGGAAGGACGGGCTGAATACCTGTCAGAAACTTCTGTCAGCCTGCCTGGGAGGAATCCCACTGCCGGACAACCTGCAGATGCTGAGCTGTCAGCCTGTGGTCAGAGGCTAAATGAAAACCTGAGAAACGTCTGATAAAGATCAGCACAAGAATGCAGAAACACTCCCCCCCATGTATTTTAAAATGACCACAGCAAACCAAAAACATTTGTATCTTTTTACAGCTTCTAATGGAAACAATCTGATACCAAAGACAAACAATACCATGACTTCAGGATCATAGCTCTAACCTACTAAAACTGAGAAATACAGAAGAATGCGCGTTATGCAGATCTTCTGCCAAAAGTTGACAATGAATATTAAATTTCCCCCTCCTCCTCTCCCAAATGTGAAGTCCTCCAAAGTGTATTTGAATTTGTAGCTCCACTACTCTATAACCTTTTTAACCTGACCTAGGAAAGCCATAGGAGAGACACAGGTAAACATCACCTGTGCCAGAAGGTGGTGAAGACCTTCGGTTCTTTCCCCTGCAACAGCCCGGGAAAGCACTAACACACCGCAGAAAGCAACCTTGTTACAAAGAGCTTCTCAACCTTAATTTTACAGTGTTAGATCCCAATTACCCTAAGGTTAGAAACAATGATTAAACAAGTTATAGCTTAAATAGGCTGGAAGCAGCCATCTCATGAGCGGCGCTGTGCCCTCCAAGCACACGCTGACCACCAAAGTCCTGCGATACCCCAGGGCTGCCCTGCTTGCCACAACAACTCGCCTCTGAAGGACACCTAAAAGCAACGCCAAGGGTACATCTCCAACAAAAGGTAGCGCTCATTTACAGTTTCGCAAGACGTACTCACGGAGGAGTCGGTCTGTAGAATTTCCATGCTCAACTCCAGCAATTTTTTGTAATTCTCAAAGCAGCTGCTTATATATCAGTTTCCGAAACAACAGAATATAAATGAGTCAAAGTTACATTTTTTTTAAACTAACTATTCAGTGCCAATAATTTAATCCAGAGGAAAAGAACCATGGAAAACCATCAACAATACTTTTTGTTAGCGTTTAAGAGAACTGCTTATAACAAAGATGTAATTGCAGTAAAAGGCTGTCTGAATTCCTAACAGTGTTGAACACAAAAGCTCCTGAAGAGAACAACACAATTTTGGCAGCCTACTAACTTTGGAGAGTTTGGCACTGCAAGGTTGAAGTTAATCACTAGCACATTAGCACACAGTCTGGACCAAGTCGCATGAGAAAAGAAAAAACTGCTAGTGCTCCATGCCTTTGGAAAAAATGAATAAAAATCGGATCTAGCAACCCTCCCAAACTCAGAGCACTACATATCAAATTTTACAATAGCATGTTAAATAAATTACAGCCCTTCTACAGAGTACTGCCTTAAATTGCACGGTAACCAGATGGATACATCAATTAATGATCCCCATTTCTGTATTACATGCTTATGAATGTGGATCCTAGCCAAAGGTTTTAAGCAATGTCAAACGTGCATGTATTTCAAAGTGAAGACAAAGCCAAGTGCAAGCGATGGAATTTTTTCAAGTAGCCCTCATTCCATGCCATGAAGAAGTCACAGGCAATTAAGGTATGGTGGCTTAATGAACTTGCATTCATCAACTGAGCTGCAGTGACTGTGTGCACTCTGCCTACTCTATCTGCAAATTAAACATGTTAGCTTAAAACATCTACATGTTGACATAGCATACACTGTCCTCCTTCAGCATTAGCCACTGAACTATGCCGATGCAATTCCCGGGAACGCTAATGCTTTCAAGCCCTTTCATATCTTTTCACGTGTTTCAAACCAGTGGTTGTAAAATCCTTTAAAGGAGTCAGAAGTAATCTCGCCTATCAGATATTCCCAAACTGTCCATGCCAATGCAGCTCAGGCCTCCTTAAAAAAAACTACCCTTAAAAAATCTGCCACTATCAAGTCCTCTCCAGAAGAAAGGATGAAGATGAGCTTTTCTACAACAAAGAAAGGTTTCACAACTGGCTTAAACAAATCTAGTCTGCTACGGGCAGAGACAGTAGTCTCATTTTTCCCACCTGGCCCCAGCTGCATGTTCCCATTCCCTCCCTTCCACTGGCATTCGCATACAATCATCAGGATCAGGAAGATGATCTGTCTCCAAGCTGCTTTTTTTTTTTTCCCCCTTGTAGAGGCAGTTTTCAGCCAGTGCAGTCTCCTGATCCACACGACTGCTCAACAGGACAAACGTGAATGCCAACAGAAGGGAGGGAGTGAGGACAAGCATCATTGCCCCTTTCCACAGCAGCATGATTTCAGACTGCCTTACGATCACTGTGAAACTAAGCACTGCTTAGATACACTTGGGTCACATTGCTCAGCTTTCCATAAGCACTAGTGGTCTTTTGTTGTTGTTTTTAAACATCAGCTGAGGGTCTGGTATAACCAGCACTAGCATCCAAGCATGTCCCTACCACACGAGGAAGGAAAAGACTAAAACAATGAGTTCTGGCCTTAAAACCTTCTAAAGGTTGAAGTACAAATCAAAGTTCACTCGATTATTTCTGCTAAAGAAACATCATTACGGTTGGTGGTAATTTTCTATACAAAATTGCCAACTACTACCCTCCAAGCATCTCTAAATTTAAGAAGCTGCTTTAGATCCCCAGTATCTGAAAAGCTTTCCAAGCCAAAGGCAGTATAATTCACTGATTATGACTGCATCACAACTCCACAGCTCCTTAAAAGAGAGATTCACAAGAAGCTCAAACTACTTAGCATTCAGTAAGTATGGAACTCAGTCCCCTAAAATTTTCCTTAAGAACCCACTTGCTTAGGAATGCCTTTTCAGTTCTTCATTTAGCTGGGCAAAGTCAACGATTTGTACAAAGGTGGTACAGCACGTGCGCACCTAAACGCTAAGGCTGCGCTATAAACATTTGACTACGAATACTAAAAACTAGCTTCTGGAAAAAACAAAACCAATTGCTCATTATGATTAGTGGGAGGAGCCAGTCATAACTTCAGCAACGGAAAACTCAGTCTTTTGAGTAGCTTTGTTCCATTACAGCATACCTGGCACAAACGGCAAATCCACAACCTCCAGATACAATCACTACACTATTTTTATGATGAAACAGAGAATTTTTCTACTCCAAAGTACTGCGTAATCAATCTCTCCTGGTTTATTATTCTTGATCGCTCAATTGTGGATTATGCAGCAAAAATTTTTACTTTGACTTTAAAGCTTCAGAGATCCTCCCTCAGCTTCCTCTCAAATATTGGGCAATAATCTGATTTCCCTGCAAATCTGCATTAAAATTCCAAAGACTAAGTTCTACCCTCTGCTGTATCCATCTTGAGAAGAGTGAATAGGAGGGCAGGGAAAGCCCGGCCCACAGTTCTAGTTAAGGTTTCTGTTGTTGTACAAGCCACAGTGCCGTAGGCACTCAAGACTTACAAGGATTATTAGGAAAAGAATAAACTATTCTGCACAAAAGTCACCAGAACACCTCCATAAACAAGGGAAAGGTATCTGTTGAATAAGAAGGTCTCTCTTTCACACAGCCACTTTTCAGAACAGAAACACACTTAAAAGAAGATAAGTGACCAATTATCTTTTGTCTCACATTTACAGACAAGCGTGAGACAAATTCTTCCCCACTGAGGTACAGAACTAAAAGAGGTAACGATTCTTCGCTAGAGCCTTTAAAGGAGAAAACGTCACTAACTTCTCACTGGTTTTCATATATAGGCAATTGGTATGAGGCTCACCTAAGTAACTAAATCCAAATGATCTGGCTGATATTTCTGTTGGTTGATTGGGCTATATTTCGTACTCTGTTTTTGAGACCAGCTATACAATTACTACCCAAAAGCTGCACACAATAGAAGCATTAGTAAGACTGACTTGATCTGGATCAACAGGTGCCAGCAAATAGCCTGCCAATTTCATGCAATTTTACTTCCAAAGCCATTATACTAGTTGGCAGTTTACCAAACTGAAAGATATGTTTTAACCCCATGAAGCCTGAGTATAATTAAATAGGCAACAAAACTGCACCTCAAATATTGATGATCCAACAGTTTGAGAGGTGAGTGCCTATACTATAGCCAGAGCGCTGCACTCCTATTCCTGTCTGTCCAGAGCATCACGTTCAAGGCTATCCGAAAAATCAGAATGAAGGAATTTAAGCCACAGAAACTCACTTCCAGTGTACTTGGGTTTAAGTCTTCATTAAGCTCTACTATTAATGCTTTGAAGTTACAAGCAGAATACGTCACTGTTAAGAGAATAGAAAAATAGACCCCTATGAAAGGGAAATCAGCTCTGAAAACAACAAAGATCATACATTACAATAAAGATCCTACTTTATGTCTTTTTCCTGATTTGCCTGGAAAGAGACTTTATTCCTAGGTACCTTTCCAATTTATTTTCATCTTCTCAATGACAAAATAAAAAATTAATAGGTGGTTTGGGCCTATGGCCCAGTGGTAGGTGGAACAGACTCCGCACACACTCCGCTATTACTACCACTCTCGTTATCGCCTCATTACTCAGTATAAGAAATAGCTCCAGGAGCGCTTAGCAACACAGTGCATCCAATCAACTAAAGATCACTAACGGCAGCGTGTGAAAGGCACGCAGGAACGGAGTGCCAGGATACAACCTGGGAGCCCAAATCAAGCACGTAGGAAGCACTTTCACTATCGGAACTCGGTGGCCGGACTCCAGCTCTTTGGTAACGCTCTTCGCCGCCGCGCTCTCTCGCTGCAACTGCACTTCCTGCAGTGAGCTCTACTTTTCCACAACACACCCACCCAACGCTACTTCCTTAGGACAGAGTTCCCTATCTACCTAAGCACCGCTCGGCTGCTCTCAACTTAAGCCCTCTGGTTTCTTTAATACTATATTAAAAACAAAAAAAGTCAAAGCAATTTAAATGCAAAGGCTCATTGCAGACATTCCACTTGTCACATAGAAATCTATTAGCCATAGGATAACAGCTCTACAACAAGAACTGAAATCGTCCCTACCAAATCCAGTCCAGAAAATTAAGATTTCTTTTCTTCTTTAGGGGTTCGGACAAACACAGCCCTTCTCTCCAACTTCCTTCGGCTGTTGCACAAGCATACTTGAGAAGTTTAATCCTAATCAAAGGAACACCCTTCTCCTATCCATCATCAAGATCATTCCTTTAATTCACAATCATGGTTTTAACAAAGTGCTTCATGACATCATTGTGGTATTTTCCTTATAAAAAGGGAAGCTCCGCAGAGGCTTTTGTCATCTGAAGGACTTAAGAAACAGTTGTACGCAGTGGGCCAAATAGCTACTGTGCTTGAAACAGCAAAGGCTCCATAAGAAAACCAGAAAGGCTTTGCACACTATTAGACCACCGCTCTGTTTCAAGGAGTTTATTTTCCACACCTCAATCATTTCATGCTTCAATTGCTAAAACTTTTTGTGTGTCTGCTACATCTCCTCAAAATATAATTGGGGAAGATGTCAGCTACCATAACTGTGTCTTACAAACAGGTACTGCTTCTTTGATTTCTCCAGTAACTTCCAGCCTTTCACTGAACTGGATCCCAACCATTGTCTCCTCCACACAATCACAGTTTTTCATGTTGTCCTACGCTCAAACACCCTGCTAAATGTCAATTAAGAGTCTCCTGCACTTTTTCAAATCCTTCCCAATGAGTATTTCCAACTGCAGGCCATTATCGATGCATTCCTTATCTAAGCCCTTGTCACAGACTTTGTCAATATTGTGAAGTCCATAGGTACAGGTCATGTTCTTACGCAGATATCTGGTACAAAGGTAAACAAACACGTCAAAACAGTCGGACACCCTTCTGCCTACGACACTCAGGCACGATGGAGCTGAACCCAGATTTCATGGAAGCTTGAGGTCACTTTTTTAAGCATTATGCAAATGGTAGTGATGAGAAGAGAATGAAGGTTAGAGAATTAATTTTGTGCTTCTAGGGGTAGGTTAGCTTATCAAAAAACTATTACATAATTTTGCAATCAAAGTTGTTAACTGTTGGCAACAGCATCTCACATCAGAATGAAATGGATTAAAAACTCCAGCAAAAAAGCAATCCTACCTTCGTCTCCTTCTGGCGCATAGGAAGCTGTAATAATGTCAATGTCAGCACAGTTCATCACAATTTGGTTGGTTGCCTGTTTCACCTGGAAGAGAAATTTTATGAGCATCAGGAAGAAATGGTGTTCCCTGCTCCCTTAGATAGGCATTCCCCCCTCCCTTTAATCTAAAACCCCCTCCATCATCAAGTATTTGAAATAAAATCTAGTGCTTAAGAGTGGTAAAAAAGAAAAAGATATTCCACTGACTGATCTCATTTGTTCCAGAACATGCGTACTTGAATCGTGTTCAAGCCATCTAGGCCTACTTATCAAGACTGTAAATTATTTAAGGGAATGGACGGCCTGTTAAAAATTGGTATGTACGCTTGACAATAGGGCCCTTGTACATGCCTGGGAATCCAAGACCAATAAAAATAGATAGCGAGCCTGCGAGCTTCCTTTTAGAGATGGCCTACAGGAGACTATACTAAAAGCCTTTGAACACAAACTTAGATCTTTCAGAGATGATCAGAAATACAACCTACGGTACTGTGTTCTAAACTGTCGACACTATAAGAACTTCTTAGGTTAAAAACATCTGCCAAGAAATTCGCCTTTACATTTTCCTGAAAGCTTTCCTTCTGCCAGCTCTTGGCTACACACACTTTGCTTTATTTAACAAGTGGCCAGCTCCCAGCGTAGTAATAAACTGGCTCACCGTGCCAGCTTTCTATTTGGATGCAAGAGCTTGAATACAGAGGAATTCAAATTAAATATCAATTAATTACAAAGGGGTAAAATATTTGGGAATTAAACTAGGAATTATTTAGAAACTTATGGCTGAAACCACTAGAATCATCACACTGGAATGAGCTGGTAATCCTGCTAGTCCAGGATACGATTTGTAGCAGTAGGCACCGCCAGTTCTTTAAATAAAAGAGCAACAATTTCTGTAACAGCCAACTAGAGTTTAACATATGCACGAAGTAGCTGCTTCCTACCCCAGACAGTAAGTTCCTTAAAGCACAAGGACTTATATCCCTTTCTTGGTTTTTCACTATTACAACCTTAAAATGCCCTATTAACACTTGTGCCCATCACTCTAGCTATCCACCTCGGAACACAGCAGACACCAACTGGACTTATTTGTCTGTGATGGAAACTGGTTCCCATGAATCAAGAGCTCCTTCGCCCTGTCGCAAAACCAGCAGAGCGCTCTGCGTGTGCACACCAGCTCACCGTTCAAGCATCTGAGTGTAAATGGATTTATCACAAGTAAGACCACAATAATAAGCTGTGAAGTGCCATAGTTGAAACAGGCACTTATCACTCTGCCATAAAGGAGCTGGTATCTACACAAGGTGAGTAAACAGAAGCAGATACTTAGTCTTAAGCTGTTCTACCTAGGCTCACTGAAGAAATGGTTCCTTAGTCATTGTGTACATAAAAACCGATTTCAAGTCTAGTCAGTGGTGAGAGGCTTAAGAAATTTAAATGTGTAACTCAATAGGCGTACCCACATCATAAGAACGGTCCATCCAGTCTAACAATCTGTGAACCAAAGGGCTAATAGCAGATAGGCCAAGGCAAGCCAGCCCCCACAGTAGATGGTTAACACAAGACAAACCTAACTCAGAAGTTTCTTTCCAACTTCAGTCACCAACTTTGCCTCTGAAGCAAATGTCTGTGACTTATTCCTATTAACAGAAATGTTTGTACAAGTCCTTAAGTAATATTTATTATACTTTTTGATAAGCATGACTACTAGCAAATCTTTCCAAATCCTGCTTGTCGGTCACCCTGCAGCAGCGCGCTGTACAGAACAGTGCAGAAGAGCTGTGTTGTGTTCACCACGTTGCCTCTTTCTGGTAATAAAACTAAAACAATGTTACCTAATAAACTTAACCTGATTCTAAAAACAACATGCTTGCAAAGCATAAAAGTAGCAAACCTTAACAGCTGAAGTGACACAGGTTAGATTTGATGCTTCTAGCCAAGATTTACAATCTGAAATCTCTTTCCTTTTTTTCCCCAGTTAGGTGTGCATGAACCTAAAGGATTATAACACCTCCCAAAACCTAAGATCAAAGCCCAACAATTTTCACCACAATATTAGGGTTCGGGGTTTTTCAAGGTCTTCTAAAACACAGAAAAATCAGAATGAGAAAAGCTTTTTACAAACGTCTAGTAGAGACCTTTATTCAATCTACAAATCCAAATCTCTCTGGATTAAGAATTCAAGATGCATAAAGAGCTATCCAAATTGCAGACAACACTGGGTTTAACAATAGGCTTGTTCCTTAAAAAATAACCTCTTCCGAGGACAGAAGAATTTTCAGTGTAGCACTGTGCCTGCAAAATAAATAAGTTTAGGTTTAAGTGGAGACAACTTCAGAGGCTCCTTAGAAAGGCAATTACCTATTTTTAGATTTTTTTTTTTCTTACCTACTTCAAATATCAAACCAGTTTTACCAAAGAGTGCAACATACTAGAAAACATTTAAAGGGACTGAGTGAACCAGTAGCCTAAAAAGTGTTTACCCTCCAACTCCCCAAAAACGACAGGCAAAATTCAGCGTGCAGATAGGAATATTGGCAGTGTACTGCACAGCAGACTTCTGAGGCTCTCAGAATTTAATTCACTGGGGGGAAAAACAAAAAAAAAAAAAAGGTTTTCACCTTGGCACACAGGCTCTGGCATGAGAGCCTCCTCCCTCTGATCCACTACAAATAACGAAGTACAGACACACCTGTAAGAACAAAACTATAAACCGCCCAGCATACTTAACTCACAACCATTTTACTTCCCAGAACCTATACCCTAATGCTTACAGACACCACATATATCATGAAGATGAATGAATGGGTTTTACTGTAAGTGATACCTTGAAACAGCTTTTACATTTCTGTTAATGCTATGTTCTGGAAGACAGATATTCTGCTCATGCAGTGCTTTTCATGGATGCAATCATACTAAAAGGCAAGAAAAACATGCATAAGGTATAACCAATTACAAAACTGTATATATGCGAACCGTCACCCTGCTTCACCTTGCTCTATAATATAATAAATCTACTCTTCAACAAGAAGCAGCTAATCAAGGCAAGAGCAAGCCACAAATGCCCACAACGAAAGGAGCTTTGCCATAAGGCTGACAGGCTTAAAAGCAGCAGATGAATCGAGATCGATATCTGGAATGAAGGAACGTTTCAAAACTTTAAATCCGTTGCTTTTGCTGAAACTCTTGTAACACTGATCACAATTCAAATACCGACTGAGATTAGCCAGACATATATACCACAGGCAGGTCCGCCCTGCAATAAAACTGCAGACCTTTAAGATGTTTTAACTGTGTCAGTAACCTGTCGTTAGACTAAGATGACACACGCTTCCCAACACCCTACACGTCCACACTCATGCTCAGCACTTGTTTCTGGGAAGGAAAATCGCACCCAGTAGGAGATAACAGCTTAAGTCCCTGCAAAAGTTTTCCAAGGTAACTCATTTGACGGAAAAAGAGCTAAAAAGGCTAATTATTTAGTTCTGAAAATGAAGACATTTTCAAAACTCTGCCAAACAGGACTCGAACATGCTGTAAAGCTTTTGATTTTCATCGGTTATCAGAGCAGGAAAGGACTTAAAAGGAAAATCTTCTTAGGACATTAAAAACAAGAATTTGAATGCCTTCAGTGGAATGCCAGCCTACCTGAAACACAGGATGAGGTGCACCAAAAGAAACCTTCTACAGTCAAAACTAATTCTCTAGAGCCATTCATAAGAGTAGATAATTAAAATCTTGTCACTCAGTTTCAGAGCCCTTTTCCAAATGTAGCATTGTAACAAGCATGTATGTTTTTAGCATCTTACTCTCTAAAAATAGAGAACTAAAACTGCCTCCATTCTGTTCTAGGATGGATCTTTTTAAGAATTTCCAACTTTAATGAGAAAAGGAATAAAAAGGTTTATTCATCTGCATCTCGAGCAAATTAAAGGTAGCCAAATAGTAAAATTACCAATGCCACAACTAATTGGCTCACTGGAAAAACTCGCTTCATTCCAAAGAGCATCCAACTACATTCATCTGTAGCAGTCACACATACTTCAGAAGTGTCAAATTCACACAGACAAGTAAATCCCTTTGAAACTATGATCAGTGCAATCATCTTTGCCTTATGAATTACAGAACTGAAAGAGGCCTTTCTGTGGGGGAGAAGAGCAAAGGCATTCCTATTTTTGAAGCTGGTGGCATAAGGGTACACAGAGCCCCGAGGTCCCGACTTTGAAGCACCAGACTTGAAGACTCAGCGTGGTACCCTTAACACTCAAATTCAGATATAATTTTATGTGCTGGAAATGTACGTTACAATGCTGGATAACGTGACCATATAGTTATACTAGACAACTCCTCCCCCCCAAGATACAGACCACAAATACTACACCCATTAAGCTTAATTTTTCAAGGTTTACATACAAAAGTGTCACAATTAATCTTTAACCGCCATGCAGCAAGATCAGAGGACTACACATTCTTTAGTCTAGCAGATACTGCATAATTAACCTATAAAAAGCAACAGATACAGGTTAAACATTGCTAAATATAACAGTATCCTTAAGACATATTAAAGGGGCTGGGAAAGATATTTAAAAGAGCCATCTCCCTCAGGTTGTAAATTCTTTAAAGTAAAGGCAGGTTGCTTTGCAACCAAGAAACACCTCACCGCAGTTGCCAATGAAAGAAAGGAATCACCACACGACACTCTCCAAAGAAGGCAGTTCATACAGAGGTAAATACCAGGAAGTCAGAAGCCAACCGTGCACCTTTCTGAAGCTCTGCACCACTACGCCCTGCACCGAACAGGTGATCGTATGGAGCCCTGACAGCGTTCCAAACTTCCATTTAGAAGCTTAAAACAACCATTGAACTTTGGGAGCCAGATGTTTGTTTCTGTTGCTAGTTACTCATGTTTGCCTTTTCAGCACGATGCTGAAGAACAGGACGGCTGCACATCCCCTCTTTGTTCCAGCCCTCCGTTAGGACTCCCGGGAGTCAAAAGCAGAACGGAAAAAAGTTGACCTAGACACTGAGTAATATGAGTGCACTGCACTGATAACTAGACCCTGAGAATCAGG